AATATTCAGGTCCATCATCAGCCCCGGAGTCTGAAAGTTCATGGCTACTATTTGACAACCACATTTCCAAAAATCTTGTGGATTCATGTTACTGGAGTCAATTCTCATGGGACTGGGAAAGACCCTGGCAAGGAAACGCTTGTTGTAATTTACAAAGTCTCCTGGATTTTCATTGGCATATTTGCTGGCAAGTACTTCATTAAAGGAACAGACTTCCCAGTACTTCTGAACTTGAAACGATACCTGAAATTCTTTGAACTGAACTGACTTGCAGATGCTTACCAGTTCAGATAGTTCTTTACAGAGTTGAAATCGCTTCACAGGCACATTGTTGGGCTGTTCCATGTTCTCTTTGCCCATCCTCTGAGACATTTCTGCACCTTCATCTTCATCGGTAACATCACCTTCAACTCCAGAACAATTTGAAGACAGCTTCTTTGCCTTAATGAGAATTTTCCCTTTCAGGACATCTGGGGATGGCAGGTAAGATTCTTCCACATTGGGTGATGTTGTGTATAGCTTGTCTCCTAAAATTTTCTTCATGTGTTGAACCATGACCTTCTGTTGTCTGATAGAACAGTGATTTTCTAAACATAAGATAAGAGGATACTCTGAAGCAAAGAATGCATACTTGTTAATAATATCAATGACGCTTCGGAAGACTATCTGAGAGGTCATGGTGTGGCCTGTGTAAATAACAGGTTCATTATCGGGCCCATCCCAGACATCTAATTCAACACTACGGCAACCCATTTTAAGAGCTCGAATGTAACCTGTGATGTCTGAAGGACCTCGGAATTGATCCTCTATTAAGTATGTATTATGAGATGAGTTTATAAAATAATGAGACAAAGGCTGCTTCATGTCCTGACAGACTTTCTTATGTTCTGGGTCAAATATATAACAGTCAGGTGACATAAGGTAATTAGTGAACCCGTCTATTGAGAGCCAGCCCTTTTCCTGGCCCTCCTTGGATGGCTCGTACTTGTGAATAATTTCAAGGCTTATTTCCTCATTTATATGTGCCACACCCTGTTCTGCCTCAAGAAACATCATAAGGTCCTTGGTATCAAGAAATTCTTTATTGCTTGAAAACTGAACTAAAAGGAAATAAATTTCAGGTCTAGTACAAAGCTCATGGAAAACCTCAATAAATTCTTCCTTTGTGACTTCAGTACCATCTTTGTCCTTTGATTTGTGCAATTCTTTGAACTTAAGCTCAATTTTGCTCGTTTTTAAACCAGGATTGAGGTTTCGGATACACTGCACGGCATTACACAGAGTTATATGTCCAAGATTATCTACATCAATTTCACTAAACATTTGTGAAATCCAAGAAGTCCTCATATTATCTTGGCTACTTTCCAACATATCAAGTGTATGTTTTCCATAAGAAATTAGGTACCGGAGTCCCGTGACCCAGATGTTCGCAACATCTGCAGAATTGGCAACCAAATCAAGTGACTCATAATTTTCTCCATATATGACCGAAAACGCACAGTCTTCAGATATCTGGTCAGAAATGCCATTGCTACGGAATATGTCTGTGTTTTTTCCTGTTCTCACTTCCTTGATGGATTTAATGTCAATCTTGGCTTTCTCGGAGTCCTTCTTTGATGGCTCCCACCTTAGGCTCTGCATGTCGGCATCTAGTAAAAAGTACCTATGGTATATTCTAGAGTTGGAGCGAACCTTTTTGAGTTCTGAGCCCTCAACCATTGAGTTGATACAATCACTTGCACTGCTGATCTTCTTTTCTGTGGGCATGCTGCTGAAGGACACTGTTTTCTTCCTCTCCCTTTTCTGTTTTGAGCCATCCTGAGAGAAAAGAATACTGTGTTAGAATAATATCATCATAGGTATCTATCTTCAGTACTAGGAATTAACACTGAATTTCGCTGAAAAATATACTATTTTGGGTCCTGTGACAAATGAGTGATCAGTTAAAAGGAAAGGAAAGGAGGAAGGGGAGAAGGGAAGATGTGAGACAGGGGAAGTGGAAGAGTGGAGGAAGGGGAAGGAGAAGTTCATAACCTAATACCAAATCCTTACTTAGTAAGTCATATTTACCAAGGAATATGAATTCAATAACATGTAATAAAAACTTCTATGCATAGTAACATACAGTAAGAATCAGCTATATAATTTTCCAGATCCAGGGAATTATGAGAATGTAAGACTCTGCTCAACAATTATTAAGAGCTAGATACCAGTGGCTCACTCCTGTAATCCCAGTTTAGGATGCTGAGATCTGAGGATCACAGTATGAAGATAATCTGGGCAGGAGAGTCCACGAGACTCTTAGTTCCAATAAATTACTCAGAAAAGCTGGAAGTGGCACTGTGGCTCAAGTGGTAGAATGCTAGTCTTAAGTAAAAAGAGACTCAAGGACAGCACTTAGGCCCTGAGTTTAAGCCCCAGGACCAGAAAAATAAAATAAGAATTTTAAGAAGACTGCAAAAGAATATGAAGTCAGGCACAGAGCTCTTCTGAGTGTGGGGCTTATGGAACTGCACAGGTTCATATACTCATGAAGCAGGTGCTATGTGCATGTATATAGGTATGTATGAATGTGTATGTATGTATGTATATGTATACATCTCCTATACCAGTGACTCCTAAAGGCTTATCATCAGACCATTTGCTTCAGGATGACTTAAGTTGCCTTGTTAAATATAGATTCCTAGGCCCACAGAATCAGACTGCTATCTAGAATGGGCTGGAACTTGCATTCTACCTCACATGATGTGAGGTAGACTAAGGTCTAAAAACATTTCCTGGCCACTTGGGCTCACCGAGATGTTTGAGCTATTTTTTGGACTACTGAACAAATGCCAAGTATGAATTAGCAAAGTGTGTGTTAAGTGGATAGACACTGGAATTTTCAGATACTCCTGACTCTTCAGAGTTTCACAGTAAATGAGTCACAGTCCTAAATACTTCAGGCACCTGTGTCTTTTCTATGGCAGTTAAGTATGAGAGATAGGCCTAGATTACAGATGGGTGGGAGCTTCTACTATTCTACAGTTGGCTGCATTAAAACCTAATTCTATATACCAGGCTAATGCTGCCTGGGACAATGTTAGCTAAGAACTCACACTATAAATGGGGATTATTAATACTACCCAAGAGAAAAGCTCTGGTAGTGCCTACTTCTGAAGGACTTTGCTTCGCCAATAATCAATCTACTTCCAACTTATCCTTCACAATGCAACACATTCCCACCATAGCAGCCGACTCCCATCTCTACACAGATATTTCAGACCTTACCTTCACAGATACTTTTATTTGGAAACTAAACAGTCCAAATGATCTCAAAATGTCCATCACAATTTTAACTTAAAACACAATTTGAACAGGCCTTTCAGGAAGTGATAAATTCTCAGCAAGTCACTGCATTCAATGATAAAAAACAGGAGTGGGGATTGGGATTGCATCTTTCATGGCAATAAAAGTGCATGGAAAATATACAAAGGTGATTGTGATATTTCTGCTCTGTGTAGAATCTATTTTGAATAAATCTCTATATTTTAAGAAGCTATTAAGCTAGTCTATGTCTGAAATTTAAAACCACTTTTATTTTTTGATGACCTGCATTTCCAAAAGCTATCTGTAGGAAGTAATTAAAATTAAACTTTAAATCATACAGGTATCATTTCCCTCAAAGTTTCAAAATTAAACATAGAGGCTTTTGTGATCTGAGAGCCAACAGAAAAAAAAAAGCCACCAGGCAGAATATTTCTTTCTAAGTGTGTGTTCAGAATGATTAAGTGCAAAACAGGTAAAAACTGGTCATTGTATCTGTAAGATATACTGTATTATAGTCATTCCAAATCACTAAAGCTTAGATTCTATTCTATCCAAGCAAATTGGCATGAAATTAAATTTGTAATCAGCCAGGCATAAGGGTATAAAGGAAATTATAAATTTCCTCATTCTCAGAATGAAGGATGTCTTTACTTCCAAAAAAGACATGTTTATCTTCAATAAAAGACAATGCGCTAACTCAGTGAGGGAATTTCACAGTCTTTACAAATTGCATCACAAAGTGCCACCAGTAAGAAAGAGTCATAAAGATAAATGGAGGTACTTATTCATTGATCCATTAAAAATATACAGTATTTTTTCAACATTATAATCTTTTATCCTGCCACTTTTATACACTGATTAATAGTCTACTGAAAGCTTTCTAATTTGTTGCAAATGATACACTTCAAACTCAGTTTTATTATTGAGAGGGAAAGGCTCAACAGCCGTTTGTTAATTGCATTCACACATCACGTGTAATATGGTTACACACTTACTACCTGTTGGATAGACATTAGCACTGCCTTCCTTTTCCAAAGCCTGCCCAGGCTTTTATTGGAGACTTTGGTTTCTGATTGAAGCACAGGATGACTACCCCAAAACAGGCTGATATAATGACAGGAAGGGCACCTACTTGTAGAGACTTCCTGTCTTGTCTTCCCTCTATCTACTGTTGCTTAGAGTCATCCTGTCCCCCCCACAGCACATCAAGTCCTCAATGAGAAGATGGTTCTCATTAGAACATCTAGCAAAGGAGTATATTGACTTAGAGACTCTTTTGATTTGGATCTTAACTGTTCCCCGAAGCTCCACTGTTGAGGCTCAATCCCCAGTATAATAATATTCAAAGGTAGTGACTTTGGGAGGTGACTGAATCATGAGGGGCTGATGAATAAGTTCACTTATGGATTTGTAGTCTAATGGGCTATTAGGAGAAGGTGGAACATTAGAAGAGGAAGCCTAGGTAGAAGAAGGAGGGCATTGGGGGAGTGCCCTTGAAGGGTGTATCTTGTTCCCAGCCCCTTGCTCTCTCCGTTTCTTCTTACCAGGCACCATCAGGTAAGCTACTATCATGGGCTCCTTGCCATGCTGTTCAACCTCACCACAGGCCCAGAAAAAGCCAAGAGACCACAGTCTGGAGCCTCTAAACCACTTGTTTCAAATAAATGCTTTCCTTTTGTTGTTTTTCTCAGGCATTTAGTCACTGTGGCAGAAAGCTGACACAAAGACCAACGGGAAGAGCAGATGTGAGCTTGCATTCATATCAATGGATGGACCAGATCTGCTCACTGGGAGCAGTAGGTGGAGGTGACAACTAAAGAAGAAGGCAATCTTGTCCTCCAGGCCACGAGGAAAGGAAGGTGAGGACAGAAGCACTTGAACCAGAGGGAGGCATAGTGAGGTTCAATGGTAGGAAACTGGATCTCAAACCACCAAACGCCTGGAATCTTTATCTCTACTCATTTCAACCTGCCCTTCATTCTTCAATCCAGCAGTGGTCAAGCACTTGTCTAAGCCAAGTAGCTGCTGAGCAGCAAAACTGGAGTCTACTTTCTATGCTGTTTCAAACATCAGATATTAAACAGAATGCTGAAAACTACTTAAACTGTACGTGTTACACGGATGGTTTTTTAACTCAAAACTTGCTGAATCTAATGAATATGTACTAATAATCCAAAACTGAAAGAAAACAAAAGTTTTCTCCTGAATTGGAAGTACCTTGAAATACTTTAAAAAATAGTATAGCAGGGTGCCAGTGGCTCATGAATGTAATTCAGTGGGCTGAGACCTAAAGGATCAAGGTTTGAATCCAACCTGGACAGAACAGTCCATGAGACTCCATCTCAAATAAACCAGCAAAATGCACAATGGAGGTATGGCTTAAAGTGGTAGAGTTCCAGCCTTCAACAAGAAAGCCCAGTGAGAGAGTGCAAGCCCTAGTACTGGCACAAACATAGCATGAACTATTTCTCAGAGCTGGCTCATTTCCTAAAGGTTCTTAATGGTAAAGGTGACAACATGAAAATGTGGTCATATTGGTCCATTTCTGCTTTTCCATTGAAGCAAAAGAAAGCATACACAAAAATGATACAGACAGAAGGAAACCAGTTTCCAAAAGAATCAATCCTTAGATCAACCCTGCAAAAGTTTGTAGGTCTCAGAACAAGAAAATGTTAACACTGGAAAGAAGCTTAGAGATTCACTTATACATTAACTAGAACCTATTTCCAGAGTAACAATTTTATGCCAAGAGTGTTTTAGGTAAAGCAATGAACTGAAAAGTGGCTAAAGAAACTTTGTGTATCACCGCAAATTCATAAAGAATAAAAATATTTGTGGAACTTATCCTTAGCACTGAAAATTGATATAGTTATATTGTATATATACTATGGAAACTACACAGATTTTGAAAAAACACTGTCTTCTTTAATAGGAGGTTGTCACTAAAAATAGAAGGCCACTTGTGATATTTCAGAAGTAGCAATTTCATCAATGTGTATGAGCAGCTTCATAAATTCTCATCCGAAATGAGGCAATAAATAGGTGGCCTCATTTCACTCCCACTGGCAACTGGCAGCTAGAACTGATCCAACTGACCCCACTCACTAATTCTGCAGAAGACTAATCTGTGGGGCTGGAGTCTTGTCAAAGGCTTACAATGGTAATGTCTTATTAGAAGGAAGTTATCTCCTACTTTCTACCATGTTTCTCCTATATTTCAAAACTGATTTGTTTCCATTTCCTGTTTGATTATCCCTCAATAAACAAAATGAGAAAGTACTGCATCCTTATCCAGATTCAAGGCCCAGAAAAATAGCAACTATGTCTAGCCAGTGATGCAGGTGTTCAGGTGGGGGATGTTGGAATGGCTGAGAAACAAAGCAACCCTTTATCCTTTGGTTTGTTCTGAGTGAGGCTGTTTCAATGGAATTATAAATAACACTTAAGAAAAAGGTGTTTATCAAGTGGTAGGTCTAGCAACACTGTTGAAAAACAGTGGGCTAAAGAAACTTCTTTTACAAAATAAAGCAAAAACCCTACAAGAAGAACTTGAGATCATTAAATAAGCACAGCAAGGCCCAACCTTTCTTCAGCTCAGTAACAATAACTTAGAATTGAAAGAATTAGTCATGCCAGGCACATCAGGGTTACCTTGCAAGATTTTCCACACATCTTTAAAACTTTTATGTGCTCTCAAAGATGAACAAAAAGGCCAAAACAAAAAGAGGATTGGGAGTAGGAGGGTCATCCTGAAGGTTATTTTATACAATAAGAGGAATTGAGGAAAAGTATAATAAAGTAATCTAGCTATGGTCAAATGCTGATTCTGGCTCATGTAGTTGGACCTTTAATTCAAAGTATTTAGATAATGGCTGAGGAAGTAGCCAAAAGGAAATGTCTCTCCTAACAAGAAAAAAAAAAAAAAAACCTTAATCCTTCTTGTAGCCATCAGAGAGCTATGGTCTCAGTGAAACTGAATTCAAAGAATAAAATGGTACAAGTAGAAACAGTCTACAGAAACTGTTCCATGTTTGGTAGAACATGACAGAAGGTGGCCATTATAGACACCCATTAGAGGAAAATCAGCTAAAATTCTAAGGAATTTTCAAGGCCAAGTGTGGGCTAGTCTGTCAATTGGGAACCACTGACACATGAAGAGTTATACTCATAAGTCCTCCCCATAGGTACTCCTGAGAAATACTGTAGGCAGAGTAAAAAAGCAACTCTGCTCCTGGCATTAGGCATGCAAGAGGTTAGAGGCTTCCACTAGGGCATAACATGGAAGTCTTTCTGTTTTACAAACCCTCTTCTCATATAAAGCACATGCACTAACCCTCTGGGGAAAGAACAATAGCAGGACTTTTTCTTAGAGCCACTAGAAGAGTCAAAAATAAATCCATATGCCTCTAAGACCAGACAAAGATTCAGATGCCCATGGGACTCAGGAGCAGACTCAGGAGCCTGCACCAAGAAATGAAGACTCTTCTATGATCAGGAGAGTGGCAGAAAGCTATCTTCTTCCCAAAGTCAATATAAATACATGCAGAGTTTGGCTGCTACATGGAACAGTGCAGAAAAGTTAACGAGGCCTGCATCAGAACCCCAAGTGCATAGCACAGCCTAAAACTATGGCTGGACCAAGAAAACCAAGAAATCTTATGACCCTACCCAAAGCCTAAGACTGAGCCTTAATCTCTACTAGAAGAGAAAGACAAAGCAAATGGGAAGAAACCCTCTCTATCACAGGCATTCACAGGTGAAATATGACATGACAGTAAAACAGAAATATCTAGTATATCCTCCAAAGCTCTAACCCCAACCCAAAACACAACATGAGAATGGACTGGAAGAATTTGAAGATAATGGTGCACTGAAAGTAACAATGGCAACTAGAACCCAAACTTGGTTCAGTTACTGATGAGACTCACTTTTTCCAATACTAATGACCTGGCATGCCCATTTCTGAGCATAAATATTATCTCAGTCTTTATGAAATGTGATATATAGCATTTAATAAAAACTGTAAGACAAAGAAAAAGCTCATTGTCAAGGGGTAAAGCAACCAATAGAGCCAGACTCAGATGTAACTTTGGTGTCGAACTGTTAGATAAGGACTTTAAAAACAACCTTTATACAATATATTAAAGGAGCTCATAAGGAAAAAAAAGGAACAAATGTGCTTGATTAGGTAGCATATTTCATACAGAAAGACAGACATTGGTTCAATGAAAATTTTATTTTGAAAATTCTAGAATATTGGGATTAATAGAGTCTTTTGATAGGATGACCAGCAGACTGAACAAAGCCACAAAAATATCAGTGAATTAGAAGATAAATCAATAGAAATTATCCTTATTAAAACACAAAGAAATGAAGATAAAAAAGAACATTAAAGAAATGTTACTCAACATATGGGAAAATGGAGTCCTACTAAGTAAAGAGAAACAACAGGGATGAATATTTGCAAAGAGTTCCCTAGAATTTTTTAAAATGAGGCGAGGCAGGATCAAACAAACACACAACTAGACATATTTTAGTCGTACTGAAAAAAAAAAAACAAAAAAAAACAGAAGACAGGCTTAACATTAAGGAAAGGTATGGCTAGAGAAACCCAAATAAGAATTAACTATAAACTGAGCATGGTGCCACTTGCCTATAATCATTACATTCTAGAGGTCAGGCAGGAGGCAGGAATATCAAGGCTTCAAGGTCAGTCTAGAACATAGAGACCCTGTTTTAAAGAGACAACAGAATGCTCATACGGTGACCCACTTACATTGAACCAGCAGTTCAACTGACAACCATTGGCTGTTTGCTGGACCATCAGCTTACACATGTACTTCTTATAAGGAATACTGCTGTAAGCCCAATTTTCTTTCAAAAGACTGCAGTCCCTAAAGGAACTACAAAGGGGCCCTAACCTAGGTGGTAGTCTTGAAAGGATCACAGTTTGGTTTCAGAGACTCCAGAGACTGTACACAGAATCTGGAAGTGATGTACATACCTCTTAGAAGCTGAGGGTCATGGTTGCTAGCATAAACTGTAGAAGGCCAAGAAAAAGATGATTGCTTCCTGGAAAGAATGCCAGACTTACATGTTCAAGTAAAGGCGAAGGTTAAATGTTTTAAGGATTAGTAAGGAAATTTTAAGGGTACTCAAAATAAGAAATAATGAGAAGAAAAAGAACTTACTGAATTTATAGATTTAAGTAATATATTTTATCAATAAAAAGAGCAAAATCAATTATAGGAATACATGGTTTCCTTTATACCAAGGTAAAGAAAACTAATTTAATAGTTTCTAGGTTAGTAATCACCCACTGAAATACTGTGGGTTATAGAATGTGAGCCCGCACTGCATATCTGTAGTGCCTCAGTTTCCCTACATGTAAAATAGGCATCAAAGTAATACTCCTGTTATTTATAGTAATTATTTCATCAAGCTGTTATAATGATAAGGTTATATTTGAAAAGGGCTTTAAGTTCTACTTGGGAATTTGTATAACATCAAATCCTGTTAAAAAATATAGCTCAAGCTGAGATTATTTCTTCTTGAAAATAAAAACAAACACCATCATAAATATGTGATTGCGATAGTCTGATCACTTAAGATTTGGTTCAGAAGAAGCAGAATGAGTACTACTCTCTGAATTTTGACCAACTGAGGCTACAAACCTTTGAATGCAACAGAATGGACATGAGGCCAAGCTGCGTGGGGAAATGTCAAAGCCAGACTGGCTCTCAAAGCTTAATGTGGCTGCATTTCCACATCTCCAACAGGCAAGTAACTAAACCACTTCTTAGAATCTTACATTAATTTTTTAAGAGACAATCAGGACACTATTCTGGCAATTTCATTTGTAAAAAATTATTTTTATTTGAAAATTGCATTAACTTCTAAATCCTGCCAGTTTAAAATTGCAAGCTAATTTTATGCTTAGAAATCCACATATAAAAGTTACAAAATAGAAGTAGATTCTCATAAACACTCATAATATTTTTGACTAAACCATAATTAAATGGAGGGGGTAGGGGGAGGATT